AAACTGAAATTTAAGAGATAAAAATGACAATGTCTGAAATGAAAAATACATGGAGTGGAATTAACAGATTAGGTATTGCAGAAGAAATGATGAGTGCAGTTGAAGACAGCAACAGAAACTATAGAAAATGAATCACAAGGAGAAAAGACTAAAAGATAAAAACAGTTTGGAACTTTAACTGTGTAAAACTGGCTTTCTTGAAAGAGGAGTGGAGAATGGAAGACTTAAAAATATAATTCAAGAAAATAATGGCCAAAACTTCCTATATTTGATAAAAACTATAAGCCAAGAATATCAACAAACTTCAAACATAAAAATAAGAATTGTGAAGCAAATGAAAGTAAGGCATATCATTGTTTAATTCAGTAGTCCCAACCCTTTTTGGCACCAGCGGTCAGTTTTGTGGAAGACAGTTTCTCCATAGCCTGGGAGATGGTGATTTGGGGGTGATTCAAAGGAGTACACAGCCTAGATCCTTCATGTGTGAATTCGCAGGAGGCTTTGCATTCCTCTGAGAATGTAAGCTGCTGCTTATCTGATAGTGGGTGTAGCTCAGGCAGTGATGTGAGCCACAGAGAGTGGCTGTGAATACAGACATAGCTTTGCTCACTTGGTTGCCAATCACCTCCTTCTGTGGGGCCTGGTTCCTTACAGGGCATAGGCAGGTCCATGGCCTGGGGGTCTAATTGCTTAAAAAGAAAATCTTAGAAGAAAGCTAAGGAAAAAGTTGCATCCTAAAGAATCGTGGATGAGGACAATGGCCAACTCCCCAGGGAAACAATGTGAAAGAGGACAGAAGAGCTCCTCATTAGAGTATTGAAAAAAGAAAGGCTGTCAATCTAGACCTCCACATTCAGCAAAATTGCCTTTTAGAAGCAGAAGTGAAAAATAATTTTTTGACATACAAAAGCTGTAAAAATGTATCACCAATAAACCCATAAACAAGATATGGTAAGGGAAGTTCTTCAGGGGAAGGAAAATGACTCCAGACAGAAAACTGAATCCACACCAAAGAATGAAGAGCACCTAAAATATGGGTAAACATAAAACTCTCCTTAACATATAATTTAAAAAATATTTGTTTGTTTGTTTCTTTGTTTATTTTTATGGTACTGGGAATTGAACCCTGGGTCTTTGCACTGAGCTACATCCCCACCTGTTTTCAATTTTTGAGACAGGGTCTCACTAAGTTGCCCAGGCTGGGCTTGAACTTGTGATCCTCTTGTCTTAGCCTCCCCAGAGCTGAGACTATAGGTAGTGTATGTACCACCATGCCTGGCTAAAATATGTCTTTTTTAAAGAAAACTTTCATATATCAAGTTGAAAATGTTTTACCCAATGCCATTGCAGTATTTAAAAATTCTGAAGTTGACTACGTATTTATTTCTGCATGTCAGCTTTATATTTTATAAAAATTCAAATTTTTATACTGTTAGTGTACTTTCATTTCATTTGAGGAGCTCCCTTTAGCTTTTTCTATAAGGTAGTTTGGGTAGGGGAGTGGTTCCTCAATTTTTGCTTGTTTGGGGAAGTCTCTCCCTCAGTCTGAAACACAGCTTTAATGGGTATAGTATTGTTCTGTAAAATTTCATTATTAGGAGTGTTTCCCTTCTCCCATCCTAGCATGCAGTATTTCTGCTGAGAAATTTACTGATAGAAGACTCCCTTATATGTATAAATTGCTTTTCTGTTGTTTTCAAAACTCTCTTTGCTCAGACCTTTGACAATTCAGTTATGAATCTCAGTGTAGATGTCTTGTTCCTCATTTGGAGACCTTTGGGCATTCACAATTTGGGCATCGTGAATCTGGATGTTCATATTGTTCCCCAAATTTGAGAAGTTTTCAAGCCACTCTTTTTTGAGGCAGGGTTCTTGCTACATAATCCAGGCTGGCCTCAGACTCATGATCCTCTCACTTTAGCCTCCCAAGGGCTGAGATTATACTCATGTGCCACCACATCTGGCTTCATTATTCCTTTAAGTAATATTCCAGTTCATTTCTCCTTTTCCTTTTTTGAACACTCATAATACATATCTTATTTTGTGTGATGGAGTCTCCTAAGTTCAATAAGCGTTCTTCATTGTTTTTTATCTTTTATTTCTATTTGTTCCCCTACTAGATAATTTAAAATGTGTCTTCAAGTTCAGTGATTCTCACACTTGATCATATCTGCTTGTTAAAGTGCTCCATTGCACTTTTCAGTCAGAGGCTGTCTTCATCTTTTAGATGTTTTTAAGTGGTCGTGTTTCTTTGTTGTACTTATTTTGTTCAAGTATATTTGTTCCAATTTCCTTTACTTGTCTGTTTTCTTTTCATTCAGTGAACTTCTTTAAGAGGAGTTCAAAGTTGCTTTTCAGTCAGTTCATGGATCTTCATTTCTTGAAGGTCAGTTTTCAGTTATTGGAGCTTTATTAGTTTTCTATAGTGGTGGTATAAAAAAGTCACTTTCAATATAAAGGCACAAAAAAGTTAGAAAGGCCAATATGGTAGCTCCAGAGGCTGATAGCTATTGGAGGCTCAGATAATGGCACTGGAAATGGAGAGAAAGAGAAAGAGATTAATGATCTAAAGGAGGTGGAAGATAGGACTTGACAAATGATCATGAAGGTTGAGAGGAAGGAAGAGATAGAACTGAATCTCTGGCTTTCAACTTGTCCCACTTGGGCCACCATATTAGGGTAATGCCATTCTCTAAAATGGAGGATACAATGAGAGGCATGCTGAGTTTGCTAAGCCTATGGTGATTCAAGCAACCTTGAGAGCTGGGCATATAAGCAGCTCCATGCATTTCCTAGGGGCTGCTTTGTCTTGAATTTATCTCCCAGTCCAGATCCTGCCCACTTATTTCAGGTGTTTTTCCAGCCTGCACAAGAGTCCCCTTGCTGTGTGCCCAGGCTCAGCCCTAGATGCCACATCTGGATCCACAAGCAGCTTTCAGACAAACCTCTGAACCCCTGCTGCTGCCGTAAGTGGCCAGTTTGCTGCCTCCAGTGGCCACTGGTGGTATTAGAGCAGGAAGGACAGGGCTTCTGCACTCTCCCACAGGTGAACTTCCCTTGCATGTGAAAGAATAACAAGGGGGCTTCCTGGGATCAAACAGTTTGCAAGTCGGTGTGTCCTGCTTCGTCCTTATGCAGTGGGATGAAAATCATTATGCAGCGAACTGTTACGTGTTACTTTTAGGGACATAACTGATTTTGTTTAGGAAAATAATCTTGGTGCCCCACTTTGGGAATGAGGCAAAGGAAACAAAGATCTCCCCAAGTAAACAGCCAATGAGAATTCATGGAGTGAGAAATGCAGACGAGGGAGGAGGAGAGGGCAAAGGATGAAGAAGCAAAGAGAAGAGCTGACAGGACTGGGACCAGGATGAGGCAGAATTTAAGGAGGCTCTCACTCTCAGGCTCATGCAAGTACAGTGCCGGTACCTGAGTATGTGTGCTGCCTTTAATTGTGCACCGTAGGTGCAGGTGCCAGGCTTGTCTCACCCTAATCCAATTCTTGAAGTTGAGAATTTCCTGCAGTGAAATGCAGCCAGGAAAATTCTTAGGACAGAAGAAAAAGGACTTCAGAGAATAGGGGAGTCTCATATCCAATTTGTGTGCTCTGTGATGTAATTCTTTCCCTCTGCTGCCCCCAAAACGTGGGTAAAATCTGCTTACCTACAGATGCATCAGGTGAGATGTTTGGAGCAAAATCAAGGAAATAGGGAAGTTCTGTATGTGGGTTATCAGGAATCAGGGAGGAGAGAAAAATCCACTGGAATCTGAATCTAAAGAAACTCAGGAACCTTACAGGACCAGGGCTTTAGAGCCAGGAGGATGTTAGGAGTCCCAGAAAACTTGTCTAAAGTTCGGGGCTTCCCCTAGCGCATGGCCAATCTGGTTTCTGCACAAGGAGTTTTAATAAACTTGGCATTTTGGAATAATTATGGGCTTACAGAGTAGTTGCAAAGAAAATAAAAAGGATTTCTGTGTATCTTTCACTCTGTTTTCCCAAACACTAACATCTTGTATGACCATAATACAGTTGTCAAAACTAAGACATTTACATTGGCACATTATAGAGCTCTTACAGGTTTGATGAGTTTTTCCACCGAGGTACAGTTCTGGGATTCAATCCAGGACCCTGCGCTACATTTAAAACCAATCATATTTAAATTTGACAGACAAGTGGCTACAGTTTGGTTACAATGGCTTTGGTATATTAAATGAAAGCGGGGGGGGGGATACTTCCTTGGGTGCAATGGGGACAATTTTGTGTGGGCAAATTGGCGACTCCTGCTCGGAGATGCCTGCCTGCTTTTCCCTGGAGCTGGTTGGAATCCCTGCTATATCCCTGTTTTACCAACTCTCTCTGTTCCAGGATCCCAAGCACAACTAACACACTTATTTTTCCAACCCCATGGTACAGTAATCTGAAATGTTAGCATTTTACATAGAGATAGTCACTAGTTTCTATTGAGCACCTCTCTTTTGTCAAGCTAGGTGCTTTACATGCATCACCTCACTAAGGCACTGTGGCTAGGTAATGTTATCCAATTTTGTATAAGAGAAAATTGGAGTCCAGAGATGCAGAAACTTGTCCAGGATAATACAACTCTGTGTTCCTCATAGGGCGGTGGAGGCAGGATCAGGAACTTTCCTATCCCTTCCTGGGTGTGAACACTACTCTGTAGGTTTCAGGCCTGCAGGCATTTTATCTCTTCATGGACATTGTCAGAGTATCTGAATTAATTAGAAAATCTGGAACTCATGAGGTCAGTGTTACCAGAATGGCTTGGGAGCAAGGGACACACCATGCTGGCTTCCCGGGAGGAAAATGCAGAGGCTGGGCAGAACTTGCCTCCTGTCCAGGCCAGCCCAGCTTGCCCTGGCATGGTCCCTAAACCTCTTCCTGGGTGTCTGTGTGTGGATGCCTCTGCCCCAAGGATGCTGTGAGCTTTTGGTTCCCCTGAGAGCAGGGTGCCAGGGAGGACGGTTCCTGGCTGTCCCCTCACCTGATCTTCTGGGACCTTCCTTGTCATAGATGCCTGGGAACATGCTCAGGCGCCTTTGCTCCGCTCCAAAAGGCCCTTGGTACAATACGCTGGAGCGTGTAGACTTCCTGGAGCTTTGCCCTATGGCCTTGGAGGAAGCAGGAAAGAAGTCACATTCTGGTTACAGGACCTGGCTCCATCTGTCCCACCCTCGATTGAAAGACTGGGTCCCGAAGAGGGGAGGGAGTAGGGAGTCTGTCTGGTGGCTGAGTGATGCTTCATTTTTATTTCTGTCCAGATGAGGGGCGTGGAGGGGCCCTGAGAATACACAGCCCTTGGAGGGAGTGGGTCTATAACTGCCATTTTCACTGCAGAGGGGAGGCTCCTATGTTCACAGGGCCACGGTGTTTCCAAGTGTTTGTGTGGCATTCGGAGTGGTGCCTGGAAAGTGATGTGGAGGGAGATGCTCACTGACCGTGGAACTGTACCGCAGAACCTGGGAGGCTGTGGGTGCAGGTGGACAGGTGGGAGGTGCTGGGGTATAGCCGATTCATCTTGATGTCAGTGTGGGGCAGGTGTGCATTTCAGAGCTTTCAGTGGGAAACATGGCCAGGCACGGTGCAGGGGAGTGTGGCTCAGGAGGGAGGAGAGTCCTGCGGGGCGGCTGTGGTACCTGCTCCAGGTATTTCATTTTGGCGCTCCCTTCTTGCTGCTTCAAGAGACCTTTGACCTTCTTTGCTTCCTTTACCTTTGCTTTTGGGGGCTCCACCACCATGACCTTTTGCTTCTGCAAAGTAAGGAGGAAGGCAAAGCTTCAAGTGATTCTGTGAGGAGCCTGCTCTCTGTTCGCAGAGAAGAGAAGGCTCCCTGGTGAGTGGGTATCCCATGCCCACACTGCAGTGCCCCATCTCCCTCACTGCCTCTCAGGCCTCTGGGCACACCCTGGTATTTTGTAACTGGCCCCAGAACAACTGCTAGTCCTTAGGTCTTGTCTTGCCCCTTTCTACTTGTAATCCACCAGCAGCTGCCTCTGTCACACTCCAGGTGAGGCCCACTGCCTCCCAAGTGGCCTCCTATCTGTGCCCTCCTTGCCTGGCACCAGTCTCAGCTCTGAGCTTGTCCTGCTTATTGAATCTCCAGGGCTTTGCCCAACCTGACTCCCCTCCCCTCCCCTCCTCTGCCCTCCTCTCCTCCCCTCCCCTCTTCTCCTCCTTTTTTCCCTTATCTTCTCTTCTCCCCTCCTCTCTTCTCTCCATCCCACCTATGCTGTAGGCCCAGAGCGTTACCATCCCTTTTCTTTTCTGGAGGCTCCTGCTGACATGTGGAAGAGCCAAGTGCAGCCTGCTTTGAACTGAATCCCTGGTTTGTGGCCATGCCTAGCCTTACAGCCCCAGGGTGGAGGTGGAGGCAGGTGGATGGTTCATTAGGGACCCCCAGAGTCCAGTGGGTGAAGGGACCATCCAGGAAGCACCCTGCCCAGTCTCTGAGGGTGGGGTGGGGGTGCTAAAGCATCATGAGAAAGATGAAATCCACTGGCTTCCCTGAGCTGTGGCCTGAGGGAGACTGTGACCCAGGCTGCAGGCTCTGTTCACACTGCTTGAGTTGGAAGCTGAGCCACCTATTGCTCCATGGCTGTCTTACCCTGGAAAAATTAGTGCTTTGTTGGTGGTGGGTAAATTTTCCCCTCTGAAGGATGAGGGTAATGGTAGGAGCTCCTGTGTAAGGTTCTTGCAGAAGATGGAAGAGTTGCTGCACACAGCTGGGAGGCCCTCTGTGAGTGATGACCCTAGTGTCAGTGGGTGGAAGGCTTCTGTAAGGCAGTGGTGAGTGGAAGGAAGCTGTCCTGGGATGGCTAAGGGTGGGAGTAGCAAGGCTGCCATCTACAGAGGGCAGTGCTGATTCACTTCCGGGTTTTCTTTGGTTGAATGGGAAAGGTGTGCAAGCTGGGACTGGGGCTAGGTTTTCAGGTCGAGAGGAGAGAGGACAACGCCTTCTCCTCCAGGGGGACCCCCACCCCCACCCCCACACTGTGATCTTCTGTTCCTAGTGGAGATATCTGAGTGGCTCCCACACACATCTCAGTGGGGGAAGCTGGGTGGAGTCAGTAAGGTGAAGCCTTAGACCCCAGGACAATTCAGCAGTTGCTCATTCAGAGGTCTTTGTGGCTGAGACTTGGGACCTTGGGAGTCTTCTTTGCTACCGGTGGGTCGTGGGGGAGCAATCTGAAAGGGGAAAAAGGCTGGATTGCCAGGCCCACCCCAAGGGAAAGAGGAGAGCAGGCCAAAGGGGTCCGGAGCACTGCCTACAAGCCCTAGTCAGGCTTCTTCACTGAAGGGTCCCCTGCCCACCGCTGCTGTCTGAGACCTGCCGGGTAAAACCTTCCACCTCCTTTCTTAGGAGCTTCTTTAGAAAGCCAGTGCTTCTTGAAGGGAAATGATGTGTGAAGGTTTAATTATATTTTTGATACGTAAATTTGTTCCCTCCTTGGGTCTAAAACTGTGTACAATAAAAGCTACATATTTGGTAAGGATGCTAAAACATTAGAATATATTCCTAGTGAAAGAGGATTGGGACATATTAACCATGAGAGTGGATGTAGGTTTTGATTGGTATTGAGCTCGGAGCCCTCACTCTTGCACCCAAATAACAATGGGGAGCGGGAGTCTATCAGTAAGTCGGCAGCCTCTTAGTGGAAACGCATGTTGTGTGGATGATATAACTGGCAGTCTAGACTTTCTGACTGTATGAGAAGTGAAACCCGAGCTCTCCTGAAAGGTGGGGTGCTGAGCTAGACAGCAGAGAAAGTGAAGGTAGTTGTGGGGTGTTGGCCTAACAAAACCCCAGAGCCTGGGAACTGGATAAATCTGGATGTAGGACCTCGCTCTGTGCTGTATTTACTCATCTCAGTTTATTTATTCTTCACCTGAAGGGTGATCATGGCACCTGTTGGAGCCTGGCTGAGGCAGTTGAGGAGGTAACCCATGCGCAGTACTAAGCACTGGCAAGGCTTACAGTTGCTGTGGGATAGGCACTGCCATTAGTATAGCCCTCTTCTATTCTGCTCCAGGACTGGGGAATGCAAGTTCAAGGGCAGGGGATACCCCTTTCCAGGGGCATAGCTGATGAACCTGGGGTGAAGGAACTCTGGGGGAATGAAGACAAACTTGGCTGCTCTAGTTCCTGGAGAAAGGTGGATCAGGTTAGAACTGCCTTTGAGGCAGGGTAGGAAGGAGGAGGTTTTCTAGCAGGAAGGAGTCCCAGTGGTAAAGAATGCCCTTTGATCCTGGAGCCCCCTTAGGAGGAGGTGAGAGGAACCCTGTGGTGAGGGGCGGACCCCATCCTGACAACAACCAGGAGCTACCCCTTAGCCTATCTCAAAGACTGACCAGAGCTAGTGTCCCTCCCAGCTTGACTAACCTCGAGATAGGCTTCTTCCTGACTATGGACCTTGACTGCCCTTTCCTTAGAGAATTTCCTTCAGAAAATTTACACTTGTCGATTTCTTTGCCCATTTTCAATCTCCCAGCCTCTTGTCGCTTTTTCAGTACTAAAATATCTTTCTCGAGGACATGGAGTCATCCCCTTGAAATACAATCCAGAGACTGTGCCCCTTTCAGTCTCTGTGGGGAGGGCAGGACCTCAGTTCTGATAATCACCAGTTAGCAAACACAGATGGCCTAACCACCCTCGAAGGTCCTCTACTAGTTCACCCCAGTGCTAACACTCACTTCTGCCTTTTGTCTCGAGGGGAGCCTGGAGCTCCAGCTCCCCTACTTGCACAGTCTTTCTGGCACAGTACGCACCTGGGCAGGCTGCTTCCTCTTCCCCTTCCTCCTCTCTAGCCACTCCAGCACCCGAGTGAGGTCAGACATCCTCCTCTCATCTGCATTCCTCCACACGGTCTTCCTCTCCGTGGGCATGAGATCCTTTAACTCTTTTGGTTCCTTTGAGCCCTCTGACTTCTCTGACATGCTGGAATCCTGCCTCTGCTTTGGGTGAGTGACTGGCACTCTCTTGCTCCCTGTGCCTGCACTAGCTGGTGTGGGTGACTCAGAAATAGGGGTGTGGCCTCTGGAAAGGATCATAAAAGTCAGGGACCTGGCATATTGGTTTCAGAAGACAGACATCTGGAGGGTGATTGTGAGGTCACCACCAGGCTTGGCAGCTGGTGCCAGGGTCAGAGTGGAGGTGGTGCTACAGGACTATTATGGGAATTTGTGTTGGTGATAATGGACATTAATACTGAGGCAACAGGCTACGTTTACAGGCAAAAGCTTTAATGAGGAAGGGCTATCAGCTTGACCAAAGAGGAGCTGAACGGGGCACACTCTGCTGGAGGCTGGAGAGGATCAGACTGGCCTATTAACACAGAGAAGAGGAAAGCTTTCATGGCATCTCTGGGGTGGGCTCGTGTACATTTTTGTTGGGCCATGTCTATGGTATTTTGGGGAAAATTCTTCCTTGTGTTTTGGGGGGTTTCTTTCTTGTGGAGGATGCGGATTAGCTTGTTGGAGACATCTTGGAACCATCTGCTCTTATAGGGCACCTGGTCCTTTCAATAAGAATAGGGGTTGAGGGGAGGTACAGTCCGTACACTGTTCACCAGGGAGGAGGGGAAAAGGCATGCCCTCCCGTTTAGTGGGAAGCGGGCCATGGATTAAGGCACAAGAACCCTTTGTCCCTGTCCCAGGAGGACCTATTCCTCTTCTGCTCCCCGGGACACCAGTGTCCTCCCACTTTGGCCTGTAAGGCCACGGCCCCTCTCCACTAACTCCTCTCGTCTGGGCCCTGCTGCAGCCTTTCTTACTGTCTCTCTGCCTCCACTTCCGCAGAGATCCTGCTCAAACAAAGACCTCTCAGGTATCTTCCTTCCTCGTTTGTGAGTGTCTCTGTTAACACTATCATGGCCGCCTTGTTGTCCTGAATCAATTTCAAATGTTTAACTTTCATGGTCATTTTGACTTGTATCTGAATTTACTCATTTCAAAATATAATTGGCAGTGAAGTCTGTTTTTCTTGTCTTTTATTTTTGAGACAGGGTTTTACTGTGCAGTTCAGGCTGGCTTTGAATTCACTTTGTAGTTTAGGCTGGTCTAGAGCTCACAGCGATCCTCGTGCCTCAGCCTCCCCAGTGCTGGGATTATAGGCTTGCGCCACCATGCTCAGCTGGCAGTGAAGTCTTTTGTTGTTATGTGGCAATGTCTTTATGTTACCTTCGTTTTTGCAGAAAGATTTATAGGGCAGTAGAATTCTTGGTTAGCAGGGCTTTAGCATGTGGTGTGTTGTGCATCAACTTCTGCCCTCCACTCTTCCATGGAGGAAGTTGGCTGTTCATTACGGAGCTGCTTTTGGGCTCGTGGAAATCATTTTCTCTTGCTGATCTCTGCGTTTGGTTTTTGTCTTTTGACTGTTTGCCTGTGATGTGTTTAGGGGTGAATCTCTGTATTTATCCCACCTGAAGTGTATTGAATTCTTGGGCATGTACTTCGTATTTTACATCAGATTCTGGAAGTTTTGGGTCAAGTTTTTTTCATTATTTCTTTTTCTGCAACTTTGTTCTTTCTACTTCTGGGACTCTGTATATCCATTGGCGTTCTCGATGTGGTCCCACTGGTCTCTAAGGCTCTGTTAATTGTTCTTCAATCTTTTTTTCTTTGTGTTCTTCAAACTGGATAATTTTTATCATTCTATCTTCAAGTTAACTGATTCCTTCCTCTGCCACATGTAATCTGCTATCGAGTCCTAGTAAATTTTTCATTTTAATTATACTTTCCAGCTCCCACATTTCCACTTATTATTCATAATTTTTATCTCTTTACTGAATTTTTCTCTGCTGATTCATTATTGTCATAATTTCATTTAAAATTTAAAACATAAAGTGCTTTAGTTCTTTGAGTATATTTATCATAGTTACTTGAAGTCTGTCTGCTAAACACAGCATCTGCAAACATTCAGGGATAGTTTCTTGTTGCTGTTTTCCTGATTACATGTGGCACTTTCCTGTTGCTTTGCAACTTATAATTTTTGGTTGAAAACTGAATGTTAAAAAATAGTGTCAAAAAGCGACACTGAGAATCCACCTCACCCCAGAAAGAATGGCTATCACCAAGAAATCAACCCATAACAAATGCTACCAGGGCTGTGGAGAAAAAGGAACACTTCTCTGCTGTTGATGGGAGTGTAGAATGTGGGACCACTGTGGAAATTAGTGTGGAGATTTCTCAAAAAGCTAGGATTAAAGATTCCATTTGACCCAGCTATTCCCCTTCTGGATATCTTCCCAGAAGAATTAAAAAACATCATACCACAGTGATATATGCACATTTGTGTTTATAGCAGCACAATTTGTAATAGCTAAATTTTGGAAACAACCTAAATGCCTACCAACTGAGGAATGGATAAAAAAGATGTGGTCTTTTTATACAATGGAGTACTACTCAGCTATAAAGAAGAATAAACTGGAGACTTTTATAGGTAAATGGATGCAACTCAAGACCACACTCATGTGAAATAAATCAGATACACATGTGTCAACATCATATTATCTCCCTAGTGTGAGAAGCTGAAAGTAAATAAGATCTAAAATGCACAATAGATATTGTGAAATGGGAAGAGAATGTTCAAAAGAAAACAGAAACTGGAATGGAGGAAAGAAGAAAGGAAGAAAGGGAAAAGGAAAAATATATATATACAAGACAGCTAGGATAGTTATATTACTAGTTTCTCTTAGTTCATTGAAAGGAAAGGTTTGTGCTAATTTTGTTTGGACAATTTTTCATGCTTATATCTTTTTTTATTTTAAAAATCAAAGGAGGAAAACATGCTTATATCTTATACTTTGAGTAACTACTTTGAAGATAACAATATGAAATGTATTAACTATTGTTACTCTTCTATTGTTTTGAAATTTTATTTTTTCTCTTTAAAATTAAAATAGTAGTGTCATGCTATGTAAAGATGTGTAATGGATAAGTTAACTTGCTTTAGCCATCCCACAATGTGTGCATATGCCAAAACATGTTGTACATCATAAAATTATGCAGTTTTATTTGTCAATTTAAAAAATATTGTAACAAGGTTGGATTCTGGCCCGTGTTCCACAATGTATTATTGCTGTTATCACTTTTCTTTGTTTTATGCGGGCTCCTTGCAATCCCTGTCTATGAAGCTGTGGATTCTGTCTTATAATGTGAAGCCACCGGAAGCTTCTGATTAAATTATTTATATTCTTATTTTTCACACATAGCTTTGCTTCTAAGCATTGACTCTGCATGTGCATAGTGGATTGGACAGAGATCATATTCTTGCCCCTCAAGCCATCCGTCCTCTGCTGAGGATTTACGTGTGGGTAGAGGAGCTGCAGCAATGATGTTATTGCTGCATTCCAACTTATCCTACTATTTAGCAGCTTCCAATAAAACATTTATGATCTCACAGTTTTTGTGGGTCAGAAATACGGGTGTGCCTTAGCTGTGCTCTGTGGCTTAGGCCATAATCAAGGCTTTGGGCAGGGGGGTGATATGAAAACCAGACTGGGAAGGCTGTGCATTCAGGCTGCCTGTGTGGTTCTTGGGAGAAATGGCTTCCTTGAAGGCCATGGAACCAAGAGCAGCAGTTCTCTGACGACCACCCCTAGGTTTCTTGGTAGATGCATCTTTCCATCATTAGCTCCTGTCATGTAGCTTTTTCATGAGAGAAGCAAGGAGAGAAATTAAACAGAGGGTAAGAACTAGGCAGAAGTCTGTTTCTTACAGCCCTTTCTTGCAAGTGACACCCATCATTTTTGCAATATTCTATTTACGAGTAGCAATTCACTATATCAGCTGTCCCCCAGGCAGCGGGCACCACACAGTGCACTCATTCTTGGAGACGGGCACAACTGAGGGTCCTGTTAGAGGCACCCTACTGCGAGAACACACTCAAAGCTTAGGCCATTTTTGCATGTTCTCCATCATTTGCTTTCTGCTGGGCTCTTTCTCCTTTCTGCATATATACACAGCCTCAGGGGTGGCCAGGGATCAGCCTTTCTGTTTTGTGCTATGCACACATGCAGCTGCAGCCAGCAACGTATCTGTCCCCATTATGACTGCAGCCTCGGTCCACTGGACTTCCTGGCTCTCCTGCTTTTCTGCACTGGGGATTTTCACTTTCCCCAAAAGGTTGCAAAGAGTGGGTGCTGCCCACTGCTCCAAATCAAGTGACCCCGTTAACCACAGCAGAGAAACTGCCTCTCCTCATAGGCTGCCCCAGAGAGCCTTCCTACGGACTTAGCTTGCAGGAGGGGCTGTATGCTTCCGGAGTTAGGATGCTAGGTTCCCACTGCTGTGTCCAAATTTCCTCTGGTTTTCAAGGATAAATGCTGCTTTGATTGTTATGTGCCTTTTGTTGGTTTCCAGATTGCTGTATGGGTTGCACTGGTTGATTTTGACCAGCTCTATCATTGTTTTTCAAAGGAAAGAGTTATTTCCTCTTCATTCAGTCATAGGCAACACCTTTTGCCAATGGCCTCTTTCGTTAACATTTTGTGATACCCTATTGCTATTGTGAAATGGAATTTATGAAACTTTATCTATTTGCATACACATTTAAATGGGAGAAAAATTTTAATAAGTATTCCTTTGGGTGGATTTTAATATTTTAAACACAACTAAAGTAGAAGATATCCCCCTAAATTTCCCAAATGGTACAATCTCACTAATGGTTGGGAACGGTAAAACCTCACTGCAAACACATGACACAATCAGAATATTCTAGACCCTACCTCTGCAGTTCTGTTTCGAGCAGTCTTCCTGGCTGGGTTTATCTCCCCAGATTGTATCACCTGTAAAATTTGCCAAATGTCTTGTCCCCCAAACAAGGGCTTGTTTTCTGCATTTATTTCTTTCCCTTGTCCTCCTTTACCAATATTCATTTAATATAAAATTTCTGGGTTGAATGGGACCTCTAGACCTAGTTTTCTGAGGAATCTTCATACTGATTTCCACAGTGGTTTCACCAGTCTGCATTCCCACCAGCAGTGGAGAAGAGTTCCTATTTCTCCACAGCCTTGCCAGAATTTGTTATTGGTTGATTTCTTAA